TATAATATTAATAATGTAATTCTTAATGATTTAACGGTGCAAATACCGAAAGGTAAGCAAGATATTATTTACGTATTTTAACGATATATAGTATAATGTTGATATAAATATAAGAATATTATATTTTACAAAAATTATATTCAAATTACAGGTAAAATATTTGCACTGTTAGGTCCAAACGGAACGGGAAAAACAACTATAATGCGTGTAATGTTAGGACAATTAAAATTAACATCGGGCACAATTGACGTTTTTGGGAAAAAACTTGGTTCAGTGGATTCAGGTATTCCTGGACCGGGTGTCGGATATATGCCTCAGGAGTTGGCGTTATTTGATTATTTCACAATCGGAGAAATACTCAATTATTACGGAATGATATATCACATGAAACGCGAGGAAATTGATAAAAACGTTAATAATTTACGCGAATTATTGCATTTACCGGAAAATTCCCGAATAATTAGTGAATTAAGTGGTGGACAACAGCGCCGGGTGTCGATCGCCATAACAATGTTACACAAACCCAGACTCGTTATATTGGATGAGCCCACTGTTGGTGTGGACTCTCTGCTCAGGCATAGGATATGGCAATACTTGGAGAATATGTGCGATAAATACGGTATGAGATTAGAAAAAGCTATATTTTCACAATATTATATGTATTTTAATATTATGTATAATTTTAGGCCAAACAGTGATAATAACGACCCATTATATAGAAGAGGCCCGGAGTGCACATAACGTGGCGTTTATGAGATCCGGCGCTGTATTGAGACAATCAAATCCCCAACAATTGATGGATGAATACGAGTGCCCGACACTGGAGGACGTGTTCCTACNCCGGAGTGCACATAACGTGGCGTTTATGAGATCCGGCGCTGTATTGAGACAATCAAATCCCCAACAATTGATGGATGAATACGAGTGCCCGACACTGGAGGACGTGTTCCTACAGTTGTGTCACTCAGAGGAAAACACCGTTACTTTGAGATATGACTTGAAATCCAAAGACAATACAGAAATTTATTTAAACAATAATATTTTGACTGAAAGTAAGACCAAAATTCACTACAAAAACAATGCGTTCATTGATTGGCAACGAATGAAAGCAATGCTAATAAAGCAATGGATTGCTATTAAAAGACGGCCGCTATTCATGTGTGCCTATTATGCTCTAACTATTATAACTATGACATCGTTGCACTTGGTATTTGCCCAGGATATAAGGCACATACCGGTTGGGGTATACAATAGCGATCTAACTGATGATCAAATATCATTATCCAATTTAATTCTTGATTCAATAAATCCCCAAAACATGCGAATATCTCATTACCCATCGCTCGATAGCGCCGTTCAGTCGGTAACAAATGGTGTCAATTATTTGGTGTTTGAATTTCGAAACAACTTTTCCGACAGTTTTGAGACACGAGTGACGGATATGTTTGACGCCAGCGATGATGTCGTCGAACAAAGCCTTATATATCTCTATGCAGACCTTTCACGTAATTAAATTATTTTTAAATACAAATTTTAGTTAAAAAAACAGTCAATTTACTATTTTTATTAAAAGCAGACCCACAAATGTACGCCATGATGGTTAGATACATATTCAATGGATTTAACATATTCACGGATAAATTGGTCCAAATTTTAAACAATACAAATATCTACAACCAGATGAATGCAATCAGAGTTATCGAAGTATTTAACGGTGATTTAAGCAGAACACTGTCCACATTCATGTTTGTCGGACCACAATTGATGATATTTGTCGAATTTAGTTTGGGTTTGATTCTATCGGCATTCATCATGATAAGTGACAAATCGTCGAACATAATGAACCGGGTGTTCGCGGCCGGTGTCACTGAGTACGAGTATATGAGCGCCCATATAATCATCAACGTGATCATTAATTTAGTTCAGGTCATAAGTGCGATGATTGTTGTGTTTGGAGTATTTTTCGTTCAACATTCGGGAAGTTATTGGGAAATATTTCTATTTTTATTCATGGAAAATATGGCGGGCACTTTCATTGGTCTATTACTCGCGGTCATTTTCGGCGATCCCTTTTCCGTTATGGTAAGTATGTTACTACTAATTATAAATTTATATTTATTAATTAAATATTTATAATTATTATGTACTTATAGGTTTGCGTAATGGGAATTTTATTTCCTCTGCTATACATATCAGGTATCTTTTGGCCACTTGAGGCCATTCCACATATGTTTCGGTTTATTAACTATATAAATCCGGTGACATTTCCCATGCAATCAATCCGTAATATAATGGCCCGTGGTTGGACATACCAACACCCAGATGTTTACTATAGTTATTTGATGAATATTACAATTATTGTTGTTTCATTTCTCTTAAGTCTGGCATTATTTAAACGCAATTCTAATAAATATTTGTCTATTAATAAATGGTAAAAGGGCGCTGATATATACTTTACAAACATTTACATCGTTGGATACCTCCTGGACCACCTGATATGTATAGCAGAGGAAATAAAATTCCCATTACGCAAACCTATAAGTACATAATAATTATAAATATTTAATTAATAAATATAAATTTATAATTAGTAGTAACATACTTA